TCCCTAATATATCAATAAAATGGCAACATGGGCTTTAAAATATTGGCCTACTATTCGATTTTTTATAGTCCTGTATTGTTCTTTGTTTAAGGTAGTGAATCTCTCACAGCTGAGAGAGAAGTTACACAACTACAACAATCCATTGTTTAAACATAAGGAATGATGGGATTAGGTGGAGGGAGTGGATGTGGACTGACCACAGATCCAGATGACTTAGTATAAAACTATCAGGTTTGTCTTTCAGTATTTAACTAGTTTTGAAAAAAAGGTGCTTATACACTGAAAAAAAAAAAAAAAAGTGTATAAACATGTTTTGTTCAGAAATTGTTAGTAAATTTCACAAACAGTTACAAAGAAATGGCAAGTAACACATTAAATTAAATGTGAAAAATTTAAGTATGAAAACTGAAATAGTATTTTCTTGTAAAACATACTTGAATAATCTATTATTAACAACTTTTAAAAATCACTGATGATACGGTTACTGATTTAAAGGAAGTATAAATAACACACATTTTTGTTTAAAGTTTTTGAATGCTCCCCAGAGGATGTTTCAGGAAGCTGAAAGTTATTAGAGCAATTCCGCTACCTTGAATGTCTGGAAAAGTACATTTCTGGGAGGACCTTTTACCTTTTACAATAATAATAAAAAAAATATTTGTATGTTCCCAACCTTAATGTTTCCTTTCTTTGTCTTTGTCGACTGCCAGCTAAACCTTCCCTGATGATTTGTGTTATCCTGTATCAAACTAGCAAACAACTTTCAAGGACAAAGTAACAGGATCAGAATGATTTCTGAAGGATCATGTCACCCTGACGACAAAGTACTGTCTGCTTTGTCATCACAGAAATAAATTACATTTTAAAATATTTTTGATAAAATAAATGGAGCCTTGGTGAACATAAAAAAGCAAAACCCGTTCTATTTCAGTTTGGCTCTCCATTTAACTCACAGAGCATCAAAGGGAGAATTCCTCCTTTGTGTGCTTTGTCTCAAAACTTACATAAGGCATCTGTCCTTTATGGGAAACTGCAGCTCCCCAGTTTCTGGCACATCACATGCTCTGATAAATACTTTTCATAGGGTTTGGCTCTGAGGAAATTCCATTGCCCCTATAGGGTGGCCCACTTCTACCTGTCTCAGCAGCAGCAGTGAACTCTGGGGAAAATGACTCTATAAACAATTAGCGCTGTTTTCTGTTCGGCTCATTTCTCCTGAGTCCGAGCTAATGAAAGAAACTTCCCACTCATGGGAAAATTCCTGCTCTTGCTGCTCCAGCGTTTCTCATTTAAAGACATTTTACATATTTGACTTCTGCAGTACAAAACATAATTAATCACTAATCACTACCATTCAAATGTTTTTGAAAGAAGTATCTTATGCTCACCAAGGCTGCATTTATTTGTTCAAAACTACAGTACTGAAATACAGTATAAAATAACAGTTTTGTATTGTATTATATTTTAAAATGTAATTTATTCCTGTGATATCAATGCTGAATATTTAGCAGCCATTACTCCAGTCTTCAGTGTCACATGATCTTTGAGAAATCCTTCAGAAAACAGTTGTGCTGCTTAATATTTTTGTGGATACTTCAGAAATTATACTAATATAATTTGGTGCTCAAGAAACATTTCTGATTACTATCAATGTTGAAAACCATGCTACATTTTTTCCCAGGATTTTTTGATGAATAGTAAGTTCAAAAGAACAGCATTTATTTAAAATATAAATCTTTTGTAACATTATAAATGTGACCCTGGACCACAAAACCAGTCATAATGGTGATTAAAAGCTGAATAAATAAGCTTTCCATTGATGTATGGTTTGTTAGGATAGGACAATATTTGGCTGAGATACAACTATTTGAAAATCTGGAATCTGAGGGTGCAAAAAAAATCGAAATATTGAGAAAATCACCTTTAAAGTTGTCCAAATGAAGTTCTTACCAATGCATATTACTAATCAAAAATTAAGTTTTGATATATTTACGGTAAGAAATTTACAAAATATCTTCATGGAACATGATCTTTACTTAATATCCTAATGATTTCTATAATTTTGACCCATACAATGTATTTTTGGCTATTGCTACAAATATACCCCAGCGACTTAAGACTGGTTTTGTGCTCCAGGGTCACAAATGTCTTTACTGTCACTTTCGAGTTAATTTAATGCATCTTTGCTGAATAAAAGTATCAAAAAACCTTACTGACCGGTAGTGTAATGTACATGCTGTATTAATTATTTTTACATGTATATAATTATATTCACATGAGACAATTCGAGGAATTACTTCATAGCTGAAGGAGTGTAAGAGTTCAAACAGATAAATGAACTATGGAGTGAAAGGGATTTGATCTAATGTTGAACTCTTGCTGGCTGTATAGGAGTCACCAGGCTACACCCTCAAAACACACGGATTCCTGGAATCAAGTCACGCCACCACGTTAATTCTGAACAGTCTGTGAAGTTTGTTCTACTGTAAGTGTGTGCAGAACAAACATAGCATTTAAATTTACTTCGTGTTTACTCTCACAAATGTTTAAAAGAGCTTCCATTGAAGGGGTCACGCACAAGTGTCACATGATTGCAGATCTCAAGACAAGCTTACATTAAACTAGTCAGCCTTACTCACTCATTTTGGTTGGGAAGGGAAAGGGAAAGGGAGTTTGATGAACCTTAAAACTGTTGTCAACTTCCTTATCGGTTACTGGAAGCTTGTGATTCACTCAGATTATGCATATTGTAACTTAAAGGAATAATTCACCCTAAAAAGTAATTACATCACTTGCTCACCAGTGGATCCTCAGTGAACGGGTGCCGTGATAAAAACATCATAATAATTCATTCAAATAATCCAGTCCATCAATGAATGTCTTGTTTATTATACACAAGCAGCTTTTCAATTCACAAGTCCTTTATTCATAATATTGCTTTCTCCAGTAAAAAGTAATCTTGTCTGAATGAGGAGAGCAATATAAAACAGATCAAGCACAGTTTACAGACAAAACAGTCTAAAACAGATCTAAACGAATATGTTGGTGGATTCTGATGTGAGATGACGACAGGGGATGGACTTTTTCACTGGAGGAAGCATTATTGAGGATTATGGACTTTTGGTATTTTGGCTGAAGCAACAGTTTAAAGTTAAAATGCCTTAATTATGGATTTGTTTCTTACAAAAATGCAGCTTTTCACCTCACAAGACATTGATTGGTGGACTGGAGTCGTGTGGATTACTTGTGATGTTTTTATCAGCTGTTTTGACTCTCATTCTGACGGCACCCATTCACTGCACAGGATCCATTGGTGAGCAAGTGATGTAATGATACATTTCTCCAAATCTGATGAAGAAAAAAACTCATCAACATCTTGGATGGCATGAGGGTAAATACAATGTTCCTTACATTTTTATTTTTGTGTGAACTTAAATGGATAGTTCAGCAAAAATGAAAATTGTGTCATTATTTACTCACTGATGATCCAAACCTGAATGATTTTCTTTCTTCTGATGAGCACTAAAGAAGAAAGTCAACGAGGCCTAAAACAACAACATCAAAAACATTGAGACACAAAATATCTTATTTTGTTTTCCACAGAAGAAAGTCAAAGTAATTTGTGCATAATTTTACATTTAGGAGGATAAGAGTAGCTCTAAGTGACGTTTAACCTCAAAACAGCTACGTGTGAGAAGATCCTGTGATCCAGGCACGTAGATACCATTAGGAATAAAGACATATAAAAATTCTGCTTAGGGGCTCTGGCCTCCTGCCAGATCTCTGATTCATGTTATTCGTTCTTAGAGAGGATTCTCCACTCCCTAAACACTTAATGCACTCATTTCCATATTTCAAAACATAAGCTGACACATCGCCAGAATTGAATGCTGATTTCTAACAGCCGCGCTGTACTTTCCCCAAGTATCCAATGTAGAGAATCTTCTAAAGCTGATTAGATGAGAAAATTTTAATTACTCTAAAAGCGTGTTCTCCAGGGAATGTTTAGATCTCCTCATGCTGAGGACATTATTGTAATGTTTGGAATAGCCTGCCTGACAGTATTTTTCCACAGCTGCTCCATAAACAACACTGAACTGCCTGAAAAACAGGGCATCCTCTTAGCCTCCCCACAGTCATTAACTGTCCCCTCCGTTTAAGTGTGAACTCAGACCATTATCAAGTGCCACGTTTGAACATAGTTACTGTGAATTATTATTAACTTATTTTGTCAAGCTTGACTGAGCTGATGGATCATTGGTTTAATGGTATTTGGGAGATTGGAACACAATGGAGCCAACAGAAGGTTCCTTAGCAGAATCTCACTGTTGTTGTTTCCACATCATGCTAAGAGCAAATCATTCATGCAGGGAGTAAGTCAGCAAGCTAATCAATGCAAACTATTCACAAATTTCAAAGGCAAAAACATCTCTTTACTCACAAGCTCCACTGCCATCTCTTCCTGTTCTTTGCACTTCAAAAAATACAAATATAAAAGGGCCATTGTTTTAGGGATATTGTATAAGACTGATAATATCAATGAAAATAAACAAATGATACATTTATATCAGCTTTTCAGTGCACTCATAGGATAAACATTCAAAAATATATTTAAAAAGTGAAATTAGAGTAAAAACAATTTCAGTGAGAACAACGGTACCTAGTGGTTTTTGGGTACAGATTCAGCAATTCAAATGTGTGTTCTGTAATCAGCGTTTGGTCAAATTGTGATATTTCATTTGTAATATTATCACAAAGCTCCCTCTTGTGGTTTCAACGCGCTCTTATCTTCAGTGGAGCCACTAAAGAACTACAGGTACCAGAGCGCCTGTCTGTTGTGCTGCCATAGCAACCGAACCAACGCACCTCACTCTAGTGTCCAGATTTGACCGTGACATGGGGATAGTTTAATAACCTTGTGTTGATAATCTCACACCTGAGACGTTTTAAATATAATATTCAAGCATTTAGAGTAGCTGTTTTTGAAATGTCTTTCAAAAATGGACAGGTGGAGAACATTAAGTTCCCCTGGTAAGTTGCACACTTTCGAAAACAATCATTTTACTTTTAATTAGCTACAAAATCAGTTATTACTAATGTAACTAAAAACTACCTTTTTAATTAAATTGTACTAATTTTTAACATGACAAACTGGCCATTTATTAAGACATATTCCAGGTTTTCTTAATTGTTCCCTTCATCAAGTGGTTCTCAAACCTCTCCATGAAGTATCCCCAGCACTGCACTTTTTGTATGTCTCCCTATATCGGACACATCCACGTCAGGTCTTGCAGTCTCCATTAAGGTGTGATAGGACAGGTGGAGAACATTAAGTTCCCCTGGTAAGTTGCACACTTTCGAAAACAATCATTTTACTTTTAATTAGCTACAAAATCAGTTATTACTAATGTAACTAAAAACTACCTTTTTAATTAAATTGTACTAATTTTTAACATGACAAACTGGCCATTTATTAAGACATATTCCAGGTTTTCTTAATTGTTCCCTTCATCAAGTGGTTCTCAAACCTCTCCATGAAGTACCCCCAGCACTGCACGTTTTGTATGTCTCCCTATATCAGACGCACCCACTTCAAGTCTTGCAGTCTCCACTAATGAGCTGATGAGTTGAATCAGGTGTGATAGATGAGAGAGACATACAAAATGTGCAGGGCTGGGGGTACTCCAGGACAGGTTTGAGAACCACTGATCTATAGGCTATTCAAAACGTTTCAATAAAAACAGGTTTTCTTGGGAATGTTCACTGTATATTAACTTGATAAAAACAATGTAAGGTAACTCTCAAGTCTCTCCTGGGGAATGTCTCTTTATTTCCATTCAGTCCTGTTTGTTCATCTTCTTGCCTGAGCTTGGATTAATTTTTGCACCCTTATATAAATACATCCTCAAATTTCAATTTAGGGAGTTTTTCTTTTCTTTTCTTTCACCCAAAAATTAACATTTGCTTAAAATTGACATCCTCAAACCATCCAAGATGCAGAGAAATTTAGCATTAACTTGCATCACTTGCTCAACGATGGATCCTCTGCAGTATTGGGTGGGACGGCACCCATTCACTGCTGAGTATCCATTGGTGAGCAAGTGATGTAATGCTAAATTTCTACAAAACTGTTCCATGAAGAAAAGAAAAAAACGGCCTGAGTTTGAGTAAATCTTCAGCTATTTTTTTTTTGGGTGAACTATTCCTTTAAGTTACAGAGCTCATCTTGTACTGCATAAAAGAAATGACCACAACTCTTGTCTTTGTCTTCAGGTTTAAGGAACGGCTAAAGACTAAATATCTCAGGGATCTAAGGCAAAAGCAACAGTTATCTGGGTCATTAGACAGTCGCAAATGGCGCTTTTTTGTCTGCAGGCCTGGATGATTTTAGAGATGGTTACCTAACAGTCCGTAAAGAGCTCTTCACCCAGTGTAAGAGTGGACCCTCCCCTGCAGTCTTTGGAATGCCGAATCACGTTTGTTCAGTGAAATTCCCACCGAAGAGACTGAGTAAAAATCAAGTGTGTTACTCAAAGCAGAATCCCCAAAGTCAAGCTCAGCATGAGTTCATTGATGCTGTTGAGCACAAACTTAAACAACACCCCTTGGCCATCTATCCTCATCTGGAGAGCGGTATGACACCAGAGGTAACCACATTTAATTGTAGTATAATCCAATTTTTTTACCACATGTAAATACATTTCAAATCATGTTAAAGTTGCTGTTTTTTTATCACTTATAAAACATCCCTATTAGCTGACAAATATTACTGAAGTAGGCCACATTTTGAGAAATGGCACATTTCCGACAGGCTAAACTGATAAATCAATCAGAACATGGGCTGCGTGTATTAATCCATTCAGAAACCTTCAGAAGCAGCTTTTAACAATTCAGAATATTTAGAATCCTTTACAGTTTTTTATATTTAAATATAAATATGTAGTGAACATGTTAAAATACCATTAGTGTTATTTTACCCTTGTATTAAACCATTAAAACTAACAGTGTTGCAATTGGGTTACTAAGTTGCTTAGGTAGTGATGGTAAATTTGACATCTTTCTCTCTTCTGACCGGCGTAATACATTTTTGTATATTTCTTCCTCTCTTGGAAAGTCCTGGGAATTAAACAGTGGAATTCCACCACCCCCTTTTTCTGAGCAAATGGGAACACAAAAAATATATATTTGGCATAGTCTCCTATTCGCGACTATAGATGATGACGACTTTCTCTTCTGAGAACCATGTAAATGTGAGAGTCGACTGGGGGAGTATTTGGAAAACCTGTTTAGAAAGGGTCATTGTTTTGCGATTCCAAATGGTACTGCTATAGAGGTGCAGAACTGTCTAACTACAGCTTTAAATATGAGTGAAGAAAAAGCAAAAAATAGCTAATGCAACATGGAATATTAATTGTAATGTATAGAGAATGCATGTATTCAACTTTTTCAATAGCTATTTGATCAGGTGCTATCAGTCCTGGATCTTGGTATGTGCGTGAAGGGAGAATCGTCCATAACCTCTCCAACAAAGAAAATGGAGCATCTAGAAGAAAGCAGAGCACAATGTGAAATCTCAACTCTGCAGACTGTAAAACCGTCCATCACAATCAAGTGATTTTCCTTTCTTCTCTTGTTGAGCACATGTTTCTGGTTTTGGTTCTGATCCCATTCCAAAGGGATGGGACAGGTCACAATATTAGGTTAAAAACAGCATTCCTATTTTAATGTAAAATTTCGTTTGGTGGGTGATCAGACATTATATATCTTAATACCATTACTGATACTCTTCTTACATTTCCCAAGACCACAAAAGGAGAAATGTAAAGAGGCCAGACCAAGAAATCCCTATAAATGGCAGGAACTGAAAGAAACTTTGGGTGTTGAAGATCAGACGGTGAGTGTTAAACACCTGCACTCCGTATCGCAAGAAGAAGACAAGATGATGATTACCAAGCTTTTCTGTGAATGGATTACTTCACTGGTAATATTTCTTCATGTACACATTAAAGCATACGGATGAGATATTAAACCTAAAAGGTTATTTAACCTGTTATGGGTGGAGACCAGCGATCTGATCTGAGTCAACCATCTTGGACCTGTTTAAGAGTGACTATGAAAAGAAACCCTCCTTGACCATACCTATTAACAAGACCGATCCTAATCAAACTCCAGCAAAAATCTGCAGCTCTGTGGAGGAACATCATAAAGACCAGATATTGTTTTTCTTCTTAACATTTACATTTTGTGGTGTTTACCCAAAATTGTGGATTATTAAATCTTGTCTGTTTGTATGACAGGTCTATAAACCCAAGAGACCCCAGGCTGTCAATGATCCTCTAATAGCCCTGGCAGATATCACAGGAAGCCTGGACTTTGAGGAGCAGCTGAGCGAGATGGTGACTTTTATAGCATCTACTATAAAGAGCAGCTGACGATGAGACAAACCAGTCCAATCTCTATTTAGTTGTTTTGAGTTCCATTCATATTTTCTTGTCATCTAGGATGAGGAGCTGAAGCAGATTCACGGCATTCAGAGAGCTCATTATCAACAAGGGAGGGAGAATGCCAAGGGTAATGCAAGAGAATGTTGTATTCATTAATTTTCAACAAAATAAATAGCTGGATATGTTATGAGTTTACTTTTGAATTATATTCCTTATAATTAAACATATTACTGTTAATTATATAATAAGAAATCATTATTTTATTCATCTCCCATGTGTAGTTTCTCAGCACTGTCTTCTCTGAGAATGAACAGAAGAACAGGATCAGAGGCTCAACCACATCATCATCATCTAAAGGGAGAGCTGTTCATTAAACTCTTTAAATAACATTCCCTGATGTTGTTTTATTAATCACTTCACACATTCATGCATCAGCTGCTGAGAGCAGTTCCCCAGACTACAATTTTTCAAGATTAAAGTAACATTTTACCCCCAAGCCAGATTTCAGTATTATATTTTACAATAAAAAAAAAAAAAAAAAAAAAAAAAAAGAACTAGGGCGTATTTGGCATGGTTCTCTCTTCCTCTAGGTTTCTTCATTCATTCATAAAATGTTCACTGAAAAACAAACATGGAGTTCTCAGCACCCTGATGGGAATTACAAGGGCTTTCTAAGGATTTTTAGGTAAACAGACTGAAGTCTGCTCTCATGCATTCGGCCATGCTAATGAGCTGCACTTTGCTAAGTTCTACATTGTCTTCTAGTGCTTTCAGAAAGAGAAATTTCATTTAAAAAATCTAATTCTTTATGAAAAACGAAATATTTTATTTTAGATCTGGTTTTAGAAGTGTGTCCTCTTTTCTTGGCCTTTATAAAACTACATTCCTGCAGAACAAATCATTGGAAATCATTGGAAGCACAATACATACCACTGTAACATCTACAGATCTTCAGTATGGGCACAATTTTCCTGTTGTTAAGCTCCGCCTCCCCTAGCCAGTGTTGCTAACTTGGACAAGCTTGTCTGTGAACAGCATCAGCAGGAAAATGTGCTCGTAAAATGGTAAAAATTTACTGTATATTCTAACATGGGCTGAAATTAATAAATTTTTGTGCTTGATATGTCTTCCTGTTTCAGTGGATATTTCAAGGCAATTCAGTGGGCCTTTAAAAATGGTAGATGGCAACAAAAGGTCGGACTGGGCCTAGTGAAGGTTCAGTGTAGGTGAGTTCAACTTCATGCAGTGCTGCACAGAAAGACTGGCTTCTGACTTCAAGCAGTGCATGCTGGTTAGAAATGTCATAAAGTATGGCATTGAAGTACCGCTGTGTTACATATGGCATCAAAGTACTGCAACAGCATCCAAAAGCAGCCGCCTGGCTCAGTCAGCGCAGCTTCTCCAGAGTGGCTGTGCGAGGTCCGATTACAACATAGTTATAAACATAAAAGTGATTAAAAAAATATAGACCTCACTTTATTGATATTTTAATAATGTTGGCATGTTATGAACTTTTTTGTACATACAGGGGCTGTATTATGCAGCACATAGAAATGTTTTTGGTTTCTACATTTAAAATCCAAATGTCTGTTTTGCTGACAAATATCTAATCCACTTTATTTGCGATGAAGAAAACAAACGATGCGAGCATTACTATATGTCCGTTTTGACAGCTGTTTTCGACTCCTCCCCTGAATGCAACTGGCAAATTTCATCAATCAGTAAGGCCAGCCTCAGTCAAAGTCAAAGTCAAACACATCTATTGAGACTAAACAAAAGTAGTGTCATTCTGACCATCATCCTTCAGTTGAAGATCCTTCAGTAGCTTCTATGGCCTGTCCAGCTTGATTTTCTGAGATGCCTGTCTTGTGAGCTCATCTTGATTGTTGGCAGCTGATAAAAGACCAATAAACCTCTAGCTTTATAACCAATTAATCACTCACTATGATTTACAACATACAATAAACAAATTAAACCATTGGCATTGTTAAACAAATCCTCCTGCAGGCACAATTTATCTGTTTAAATTTCATAAAACGGCTCTAATTATGTTTGATGTGAAGTGAAGCTCACATATCTGATTAGCGTAGGCAGGCCGCTCCACCTCCAGCCAATAGTTTCTGTCAGTGGGAAGATCAGAAGTGAGGAGAAGGTGCACAGGAGACCTGCGTCCTGTTGCACAAACAGAGCGGGAACAGCATGTCTGTCCTGCTCTAAAACTTACTGCATTATCTGTCAAACAAGAGACATTTTATTATATGCATGTACATTTTTAAATTAGAAGGGATCAGTTAATCAGTTTTTCCATCACTGATCAGTGTAGCGGCCAAAAGACTCACTGTCAGCTGATAAAGGGCTGGTGTGATCCTGCTTATTAGGTTCAGCAGTTCTGAAGGATCCTGGCTCACTGCATCAAAGCACACATGCAACACAAGCAGCACATGCATTAAATGTGTCTCAGAGCACTAACTCTTGACTCAGAGAGTGGAGAAAAAGCATAAATCACTGCCGAGAAGCACTTAAATGGCCTCACTGAGGCAAAGCAGCTTCTTGAGCATCAAGCATTCGTGCATGTGTGGTTAGAAGTCATGAAACTACCTGTAGTCAACTTATAAGTGCACTTTTCTTCTTACCTGTAACTGTTTATTCTTCCAATTGGCCTTGTGGTACTTTCAGCACCTTTAGTTCCTATAGGTCTGCAAAAAAAAAGATCTTCCCTAAGGTGCTTTTCTCTATAAATTTTATTTATTTTTTTATTTTTTTTGTGAACGAGACTCTCACTGTCTAGATTTGTGGTCTTCCTCGGGTCTCCTCCTGAAGCTCAAGGTAGTGTGTGGTCCTTGCTCTTCAGCAATCCCACCACGCAGCTCTCTTAAACTCTTCAGCTCCACCAGGGGCTCAGAGACTCTCATCTGGAAAGATTCCAGAGGGAAATCCGTTCCAGCACATCCTGTCAATTCAGGTATTTAAGTGTGTGGGTGGGTTAGAAGGGCTTTTTTCATACCTCCATTAGGCCATTAACGTTATGCTGAGCGAGGGGAAGATGAGTCTGTAGGGTACAGCTGCTGACTGGAGATCTGGAGACGTTACGCCAGTTCTGGCTTTGCAATTCCTAACCAAAACAAAACATACACATGGAAATAGCATAACAGCAAGAGAATAATAAAGTTTGACCAGAAGGTGATATAAAGTAACAACTACTACAGTAAATTAGTGTACATTTTTACCTTTATATCTAATGCATGCTGCAGTTTCAGCCTCATAAGCTCCTGTTCCTGCTTATGAATAAAGTCTTGGCATTCAGCAAAACTGTCAGACATCTGTACATTATATATTATAATGTTAAGGTTTACAATGTCGGTCAAATAGAACATCTGTTCCATTATTTGTTCAGTACTGTTGTATTGAAATAAGCATTTGTTTAACAAGAAGACCATCAGACACCTTGTATAAAGCTGCTTCCAGTCTCTCTGCTTTGCCTTTGAGCTCTCGCTCTTGTGAGCACAGAGCCTCCACTTCAGACTCCAGTCTTCTCCTGCTCTCCCTCTCTGACAGCAGCTCTTGTGTCTGTCTCTTTACCAGTAAAGCCTGACGGTGTTTCTCCTATGACACACAAACACACACTTATTTGTACTTTTTTGCAAAGTTTATGTCTGTAAAACACATCAGTTTTAACTGTTATTCTGAAATGTTCTGCTGTTCATTTCATTTATAATAACTAACTCCCACTGAATAGTGAAACACTTTCCTAAATGCTACTAAGAACATTCTAATATTTTATCTATTTAATCCTGCATATCTGCATATAGTTGCAGTCATAAATTTACATACACATAATCTGCAACATGTTAAATAATAATAATAATAAAAAAAATGGGAATGAGAACAGTTTACACTGACTATCCTGTTTAAAAGTTTACACCCCTGTAAACTTCTGTATCTGTGCTTTTACTCAAGTACTTGACTTGTGTACTTTGTCCACCAATGATCGCATTGACACACTAATTAGTAACAGGGTGGTATTGTGAGAAACAGAAAGGAGTAGTTAGTGATGCACCCCACCATCTTGAGCTTCTCTATGGTCTCCTCCAGCAGCTGAATTCGGCTTTGCAGGAAATCAATCTGCTCCCTTTTAGCAGTGATCTGTTTCTGCATTCCCAGAGCAACTTTGAGACCTGAAATACATATGAAACACTCTCCAATCAGTTCAACCATGGTAAGTACCACAAAGAAAACTCTTTGAAAAATAATTATTCACTGTCCTGTCTGAAAGAGGAATATTATGTACAATGAGGTGTCGCCCTATCTGTGAAATGCTTGACATTCAAACAGAATGAGCTCAGGTTATGCTAGCTGCATCACGTTCACAAGAGAATAACTTGAACTATATTGTTAATGCATTGTCTGCTTTTCAAAAGGCACTTTGTCCAGTTTTCCCATTCTGTCCATTTTCCCATTCTGTCCCTCTCACAATTGAATAGGACAAAATAAAACAATGGAGGGTTACAGAGGTCAGAACTAAGAAATCATAGCTACTTTATGTAACAGCCCACAACCACTGCACACAGCGAGAACAAAAGTTCTTTAACAATGTCGCAATACACTGACGGCAAACAGCTGAGAACATTGTATAAACGTTAAAATGCTATACTTTGTGCAGATTAAGAGATGGAAAAGTACATAGTGGAATAACAGCAGGAGGGCATCGACCAGATCTATAATCTCAGTGTGCTGTCTTCCTGCCATTATCCAGAATGCAGAACAACAAAACGATGGCCACACACTGGCTCTCTGTAAAGAATGCAAATGAATCCAGTAACGTAGGGTGTGGTCTTCCTCCCTTTATTTTAAATACACTTGGCCTAGATCTGGGTTTTCCTGAGGTAACACTGTGAATGGTGTAAAAACATCCTCAGTTTAAATATCAGCTGTGCTATGAATGAGTACGGATACCTATATTTGTATTTGAGCGTAATTAGGACTTTCCTGAATTTTTTTCTCAAAGCTTTAATCTCAGGGGCCAGTTCTGTGAGGTTACTGAGGGCGAATCTGTAATTTTCATTTAAAACGAGGCATTTCTATGTATATGCACAGTACCATGACCATCAGCTCCCTCCAGTGTTCTCAAGGAACTGTTGGCCTGGTCCAGCTCAGCCCGTAGAGTCTTCAGCTGGGTCTTGAGTTTCAGGTTTTCTTGTTCCAGCTCACAGGTCTTACTGCCGAGCAGCTCTTTCAACGCTTCCTGTCCCTCTGGTGAGTTTGTGGGGGACAAAGTAAAAAAAAAAAAAAAGGGTGATACTGACAGAAAACGGCCTCATTAAAAGAATTAAATTCTTGAAAAGAAAACCTTATTAA